TCAGCACCACATACCAACAAAGATGTTGTGTCCGCCGAGAACTAAAAAATAAATATTAAAAAAAATTCTCTCTCAAAAAAAAAGATAATGCAATTTATTGTAAAAATAATATTTTTAAAATAATATAAGAGAAATTATGATAAAATGTCATGGTTACCTAGGCATCAGGTAATGATGGCATGGGTCTGGATCATGGTGAATAGTGGAAATGATGAGAAGCAAATAAATGTAGGATTTACTTTGTAGGTAGAACCCAGAAGGAATTCCTGGTAGATTAGATATGATTGGAAATGAAATAAGATTTAAWATTGAATTCCTCAAACCCATTAGGCTCATTTCTGTTGCCCCATGCCACTGGCCAAGCGCTGCCTTGTTGAACAGTACCAGAGGAGGAGTATCTCCATTGTTGCAGAAAGGTCTTTGGACAGCATTGCTCTAGGGAACGACTGCTACCCTTCAGCTACATGGAATTTTCTTGTTTCTTTGATAATGTTTTTTTTTTTTTGACCATCTCTTCTGTTTCTCATTTTCTGAAACTTCTGTTGATAAAATTTTGAACCTTCTGGATTTTCCAAGTCTTTCCTCTTTTTTGCCTATCATATTTTGATATCCTTATAGTTTTTCCTACTTTTGGGGGGGGAATTTCCTTGATTTTATCTATAAACTCTTTTATTTCATTTTTATATTTGCACCCTCGAAGAATTTTCAAGTGTTCTTTTATTGTCAGAGTTTTCCTTTTTCTTCTTGTTTTTGTTTTATGAATGCAGTGCCTTTTCTGTGAATACCAATTAGAGAGTTTGTTTTATATTTTTATATTTTTAGTAAAACAAAAATAATATTTTGGACATAACAGTTTTTTGGAGCATCACTTTTACTTCTTCCTGGCTTCCCCTTTTTTTTTCTGTATATCTGGGACCATCTTTTGTGCTAGACACACCCTTCAGTGTCTGGTAGCTCTCAATATCCGTGTCACCAAAAAGCCTTACTGGAAAGCAACTTGGGAGTTTTGTGTCTGTCACAGGACTGTTCCTGACAGTCTTTCCCTGGGGATTTTTTGGTGTTTGACTTTCTCTGAACCTTTCACTGTTGGATTTTGGTTTATCTGTCTCCTTACTTGTTGACTGTATTATTTGTACCTGACTGGTTGTGTTCCACCGTGGTTCTGGGGAGGAGTGTAATGTGAGACCAACTGAACAGACTTCCAGTCAACCCCTGGATTTCATCTTCCAGTGTGGCTGGTGTTTCTGAGGCCCGAACCTTTATGGAAATCAATCAGAGCAGATTGATTCTTTTCTTGGGTTGTAGTGGTAGCGCCATTCTTCTTTCGTAGGTGCTGTTCTTTGATTCAGCCTCCCTGGGTTCCAGAAGTGTGTCCTGGCCGTTGTTAGGGTCTTGATTATTATACGTCTTTTATTTTCATTTGTTATTATTTTAGTGGAACCTTGGACCAGGGTCCACTTTAACTCAAAATTATGCTTTTAAAAAACATTTTTTATAAGTTATCCAGTGCTTTTCAATAGAGTGTATTACATAAGCCCATAGATAGTGCTGTTGCAGACTACAGCTTATCTATTGCACATCATCTGGCTTGTATTTTGGATTGTTTTAAAATTTACGATATTCCTGTCCTCCTTCCATCCAAGTTTTTTTCCTTGAGGTTTCTCTGTACCTCTGCACTAAACTATAGCATGTTAAACATAAAATTATACTGTTATAATTTTAACTGAAATAAGTTATTAGGCCCAGAGAGTGTTATATGGTCAGGAAGTTCCTCTTCAAATCTTGGGGAATTTAAATAGATACATTTAAGTAAATGAAGAAAATGGAAGCCATTAAATTCAGTGCTATAAAAGAGTTTTCATGACATGAAAAGATATAATTTTTTAAAGAGAAATTACCAAGCAGTGCCAGGCATAGTGGTGCACACCTGTAACTACAGCTATTTGGGGGACTGAGGCAGAAAGATCACAAGTTCAAGGCCAGCCTTGGCAACTTAGGGAGACCCTGCCTCAGAATAAAATAAAAAGGGCTGGGGAAGTAGYTCGGTGATACAGCACCCCCAGSATCTAATCCCTAGTACCTAAGGGGGAAAAAGTTACAAACAAAAAAAGAAGGCAAAGCATCTGCTCTTGACATTTCTACAACATTCTGCTGGAAATCTTTGCCAGTGCAGTCAGGCAAGGAAGTAAAGGAATTGAGATTGGGAAGGAAGAAATAAAATTGTCCCTAATCCCAGATGACATGCTTGTCAAAAAACAAACAAAAATCCCACAACTAATTTAAGTTTCACAAGATCACACAAAAATCAATCATATTTCTGTGTATTGGCAGCATGCAATTGGAAACCAAAATACAGAAATACAGGACCTAGATGCTGAAAYAACTACAAAACTGCTAACAAGGAATTTATTTGATATATAAACCATTTTATTCATTTGCCATCAAAATTTTCTAACCTGTACTCACCTTAACTTTGAGGATAGACTCCATTATAGCAAGTCACTTTTTCATGCGTTTACTTTATATTGTATAAAATAGAAAACACCAGTAGACCTTCATACACACACACAACGTGTATATTCACTATATTCATCTAATTTAAAAGACACTAAAAGTTCAAGTTTCAGCTCTCTTTTTCTGACATAAAGGATCAATCATATTCATAATGTGATTTGAAATTGAATTTCGTATTTCATCTAGGCATTCATCTCTGTCATAGCTGCTTTGGAACCATTACAGATAATGTTATACAGTTCGTTCCCAGATCCCGCTGTGCATTTCAGCTGAGTGATTTGGGGTTCTCAATTTGGAAGATATAAATGATACACATTTTCTGCAAAATTTAATTGAATATTATCTAATATCAGCCTCTGTTTCTTTCTGAGTTTTGSTTTTCCTCATTTAAGAAATGAGGAAATGGTTCATATATCATCCATTGTTTATACTGCTGGTTTATGTATGTTATTTAAAGAAAAGGGACTTATAGAATTAATAGGTGAAATCATATGAGACTATTTAGTATTTGATATTAGTCTACTATATCACCAGTAGACTAGTATAACCYGCTCTTTCTGAGATCAGAATCGGTATTAGTTTTTTACTTTAATATTTGCACATAAAGACTTGAGAATGATTCCCTGCAGATTGTGATGGGCTAAACTCCCCACCGAGTAATAAAAATAAACCCTTCTTTGTGATTCTAAGAGATAATTGTCTTCATTACAAAGCTTGATATAAAAGAGACTGGGAGCTATTACAGGGCGGCTCTTCTACCTCAATCATGAAATATCAAATGTGCTGATTACATTCATAGTTGACTCTAAATCAGGATGGTTAATAGTCTCAAACCCAGGATCAATCAAACAAACAAAAAACAAAACCAGGATCAAAATTACAGTGGTTTTTTGATTTGTTTGTTTTTTGTTTTTTGTTTTTTTTGACCATTGAAAACATTTCCTTTAAGGAAGAGTAAAATTAAAGTTGGATTTTTAAAAAAAAGGAAAAAGAAACAAAGATGGATTTAGATGTTTTACTGAGACATAGAAGAACAAAAAAAAAAAATGTATGAGAAAAGGAAGGTGATAGTAGTACTTTGCCTTCCTCATCCAGTGGCTGAGACTGCGAATGCAGTGATCTGGCCAGTAGTGAAAGAATTGCTGTCTCTGCCCTTTACTCCGACCACACCCACTCTCTTCCCTGCCTTGTATCCTAGTGGTTTCTTGGGTCTTCCCCTTAGACTGTTATTGCTTACACCCACACTTCCCCGTTTAATTGCCCTGAGGGTGTCTACCTGTCCAAAAAACATCCTACTATCACTGTGCCTTATCATCTCTCTCTCTTCTCTTTAAACCAACCTCCACGTACAATACTGGTGAAAGAAAGATTCCTCAGAATCAAAATTGACCACAAGCTGAAGAGCAAATTTATTATTATTGGGAGAAACTATAAAAAGCCAGTCCCATCCTGTCAGTTAAGATGGATCATGTCATCTTTACATTACAATAAAACAGGAACCCTGCTTATGCACCAGGAATGAACCTAAATGCTATGCACACTTAACTCATTTAATTCTCTCAACAGTCCCAGGGTACTGGGGGTAATTAATTTTACAGACGAAGTCCCCATGAGGTTAGGTCAGTTGCCCAGGGTCACACTGCTGCTGCAAGGAGAGCGTGAAGTCCCGCACAGCTGGCCTGCCTCCAGGTAGAAGCTGCTGCCTCATCTTGTTGCACACAGCTGTGCTGTTAGGACTGACACAGAGTAGGGTCACCAGAGGCAGGCAATGACAAATGAGAGTGCTTAGGTAACTAAGAAGCCTCAGAATGGCTGGGAAATAGCTGTCTGCAGAGTAAGGGATTTGGGGTTGTGCAAATTCAGGACATTTAGAGAAGAAAATATATGTAAGTTAATCTGATTTCAGACATGTAAAGAATATTTTGAGTAATGAATATTCTCTGTCACTCGAACAAGCAAAAGAAAATGCAGTGAAGTCCAGTCAGAAATGCTTATGCTAGACAGGAAGAATCTTATGTTGCCACCAGGTCTAAGGAGAAATAGCTGGGGAGTTGTGAAGGCCCCGGAGAAGAGTCTAGAGCAGATGGCTCTGCTCAAGAAGCTGCGATTCAGCTGATATGTGGCAACTTCGCCCATTTCGTTTTGAACAGCTGTGCTGCTTCTTTGTGTTCTTACTCCACTGATACCTAGAACAGAGTTTTAGAACTGGAGACAACTTGTTCAACTCCTGTGTTTTACAGATAAAGGAACAAAATCAGAAATCAGGCATGTATTGTCACAAGACTGTCTCACAGGACAGAGCTGAGTTTTGAACCCCAGTCTGCTGACACCATGTCCAGTGTTCAGACTGCTTTTTTTTCAGTCACAGAAGAGAACATTCTTGAGATTTTCTGCTTAATAATAAAATGAGGTTGCTGTGGGTCTGAAATGGGAAGGAGTGTGGAAYAAGGTGTTGCAACTTATGAAATGTCCTTTTTTTTGAGTAGTATGAGCCCAGAGGACCTGGTCGGCCCTTGTACCAAAGAAGAATCTCATCTAGCTCAGTCCAGCCTTGTTCTGAAGAAGTAAGTGCTCCCCCAGACAGCCTGGCGCCATGTAAAGAGCTGCAGGACCACAGTGACCCACCTTCTTTCAGCTTCTCAGCCTCAGAGTCCTGGGCGAAYACCACCTCATCGGCCCCCTACCAGAACATTCCGTGCAATGGATCCAGCAGGACAACTCAGCCCAGAGAGTTGATAGGTAAGKCAGGGTAGGTGGGGCCCCAAAGTACAGTGGTTTTAACTCCTCAGGGCCTGAGTGTTTACAAGGCTTGCTTTTTTAGAAGAAAGTACAAGTAAATTAATCTGATTCCAGGCATAAAGAATAAAGAATATTTTGAAGAAAGCAATATGTATTATCTTTCAATGGATTGACTAGAAAAAATGCAATGGTGTCCAGTTTGGAGGGTTTATGCTGGACAGGAGGAATCCTATCTTGCTATCAGGTCTAAGGAGAAATAAGCTGGGGAGTTATGAAGGCCCAGGAGATGAGTCCAGAAGGGACTGAGGCCCCATTTGCATTATTATCTTTGAACAGTATTCAGTGCTCAGAGGTTGTGCCCTGGGCATAGATATTAATTTAGGAATATGTTGATTCCATTTTTCCATTGTCTGGAAGGTTAGTAGATATATCCTTGTTTAAAAACTGATTATTTTGACCTATTATTGAATAAAAGAAGTAATGGAACTTAAAATATAATTTTAAATATTTAGAACCACTTTCTCTTGAGAAAGTTCTGTTTTCTATTTTGGGAGATTTGTTTTGTTCCATCAGGCGTAAGGGTGGCAGTCGGTTGGGTGGCAAGCACTTTTAAGGGTTGGTTGTCAGCAAGCCATGGAGAGTGCGCTGTATGATGCAGTGGCCATGGGAGGCCAGCAGCGTTCCATCGGGTTTAGAAATCCTGTGTGTATCCACACATTGACACAGGTGTCCAYGGCTGATGAACAAGAGAGTGCGGGAGGCTGGGAGTGGAGAAGGCTCTGGAACTGGAACTCTACCTGGAAGGTCCAGAGCTTTTCTCTTTGACTTCAGAACAGCACTCCCTTCCATCTTTACTCTCTTCCCTTTTCTTAAAAATTATATTGAACATAAAGAAACTATTACCTCAGTTTTCCAGTGTTCTCTTTGTAGGCYATAGACCTTGATCTCTGTGAACAAGTCTGAGATCTTTCTGTTCTGGTAGCGTCAAAATTAATTTTGTTCATCTTTAGAATGTGAATCCATTGTTTCTGTAACTGACCCATTTTTGAGAAAATGCTGCATAAGCATATTTTTAGAACAGAGGTCATGTTAGGGCAAAAACATGTGAAAGGTTTTGCTTTTGTTTCATAGTAAGAGACATTGTCATTTTCATCTTTCAGCATTCATCAATGCTTACTATGTGTAAGCAGCTGTATTTTGCCTAGGGTTGCTTAGTCATTTTTAAGATGTTATGTAAATACATTCAGGTTAGCATATTTAAATCATGTAAATTACAAATCAGTGGTGTTAATTTGTTTCTTTTGCATTATTTTATTATAAAAATTTTTWAAATAACATCATTTCTTTTTTTTTYYTTTTWWTTTTTTTTTCACCTAAGTTTTARGTTAGCTTTTGGCCAAAATAATTTAAAATTTGACCTGAGCTGATAAGGTAGAAAGTTCCTGAACAGACCCCTAAAGCTCAAGTCATTTATTATGTCTTTTCTGCAAATATAGGCTGATTACTTTCTTTATTGCTGGGAGATTAGTATTTCTTAGATGAAAGTAATAATTAAGGATGAAAAAATCAATTCAAAATCACCAGTATTCAGAAGCATAACTTCTTGTTCATAAGTTTGTTTTTGTTCATTTGTTTTTTGGGAGTTGTTTATTTGTTTTAGAAAAATGTAGTGGTGGTGGTACATCAGACAGAAAATAAACACCATATAAGAGTTTTGAGATTTGTTTCTTGAATGAAGAAAGTCATATCATGTTGCTTTTAAAAGAGAYCAGTGTTCTAGGAAAATATTAAATCCTTTAAAATAATCTTGAACAATTTTTTAAATTTTAAAGTTTTAAATAGTACCATAAAGTTAGTATATTGGCTAAATGAAATACTAAAAATGAAATATTTTTGCCTGAACTCCAGATACTATCAGGCAACTGTTTCTGATGTTAAAATGCTTTTAAAACTTTGTCATATTGGGTGTGAAGTAGTGTCTATCAAGTTTTACCAGTGTTTTAGGAAATAATAAACCATTCTAGTATGGGTTTGAAAAAGAAATCTCGGGCTGGGTGTGGCTCAGTGGTAAAATGCTTGCCTAGTATATCTGAACCACTGGGTTTGATTCTCAGCACTGTACATAAATAAACAAATAAAATAAAGGTCCATTGACAACTAATATATGTATATATATATTAATCTTAACAGGGTTGATTGCTTGGTTTTGAGAGGGTCTCACTATGTTGCCAGGCTGGCCCTAAACTCCTGGGCTCCAGTGATCCTCCTGGTCCAGCTCCCCTTTAGTTGGGACCACAGGGCCACCACTCCTGGCAACAGGGTTTCTTTTTTCTTTTTTTCTAAACTTATTTTGAATTCAGGAGTAGAACAGCCTTGTTAAATATCTTAGACTTGTAGATCTAGAGAGGGAAATATCCATTCTCCCTCTATTTGGTAGTTGTCTTGAGCTACACCTGCAGGAAACAGAACTGACTCAGCCTAGCTCAAGTACAAAGACTTTGATCGGCAGGAAGGTACAGGAAGCCAACTGGATTCATGAGAAGACCTGGATGGTTTTCTGARATATTTATTCTGTGTAAAGTACACAGCACAAAGTGCCTGTCCTCTAGTAAAAACTCAGGTACTAGATGTGATTATCCTGACCTCCCTGAGTAGGCCCCGTGGCTTCCTTTGTGGTGGACTCACTCCTTTCTTCTGCTCTTCTTTGTGGATCAGTCTTCAGATTGCTCTGCCTTCTTCCTGTGTGTTTAAGTAGCTTTAAGTTGCACATTTACGGCTTTTGAGTGGGCTCCACATAACTGAGCTACAGGTTTCTGTCTATCTAAATTCTGATAAAGAATGAAAAMAGCTATGGTTTTGTGGGCAACAGCACTGGTTAGAGATGATGAAATCAAACAAAGGTCTTGAAAGTCAGGCAGATGATAGGAAATGTGGCAGTTTACAGCCTTTTCTTTTCCTCATTTACTCCATGCTTGCTGATACTGTATTACAGGGAAGCACGGCACTGTGAGCAAATGGGATCTGTGCCACTGATTAGTTAGGATAGTATTCTGAGTTATTTTGATCTGAAGTTTGCATATGTAGCTCTTTTTTATTTAAGGCAAAAACATATTTACAATCTGTGAGCAGCTAGTATGATAAGTATAAAAATATAATTGTAGGGGCTGGGGATGTGGCTCAAGCGGTAGCGTGCTCGCCTGGCATGCGTGCAGCCCGGGTTCGATCCTCAGCACCACATACCAACAAAGATGTTGTGTCCGCCGAGAACTAAAAAATAAATATTAAAAAATTCTAAAAAAAAATTATATATATATATATATATAATTGTAAAAATTATTTTTTATTTCTCAGCAAGGCTTCACATTTGACCTTCAGTTTTTTTTTAAATTTATTCTAATTTGCTACATATAACAGCAGAAGGCATTTCAATTCATATTATACATGTAGAGCACATTTTTTCATGTCTCTGGTTGTACACAAAGTAAAGTCACACCACTCATGTTTGACCTTTAGTTTTACAGGTTAGCTATCCCAGCCCATCATGTGTCTAATAGGTAGAGGAGTTTGGTTAGATGTGTTGTGATTGYAGCATTTTGTGCCGGAGTTTGACCTTGTGGCTACACTGTCTCTCCCCAAGTTCCTGGAGATGATTCCTAGCTCTGAGCCTCTGAGCCTCTGAGCTGGGGACACCTGTGAACACCACCGGGCGGGTCCKTAATCCAGTGTTGCTGTTCTCTGCTTTTAATCCAGTGTTGCTGTTCTCTGCTTTTAGCTCCACCCAAGACTGTCAAACCCCCTGAGGATCAACTGAAGTCTGAAAACCTCGAGGTGTCCAGTTCCTTCAACTATAACATGCTGCAGCATCTCGGGCAGTTCCCACCCCTCATGCCCAACAAGCAGATCGCAGAGTCGGCCAACAGCAGCAGCCAGCAGAGTCCGGCAGGCAGCAAGCCAGCCATGTCCTACGCCAGCGCACTGCGGGCACCCCCCAAGCCCAGGCCCCCACCTGAGCAGGCCAAGAAGAGCAGTGACCCCCTGTCTCTGTTCCAGGAACTCAGCTTGGGGAGCTCCTCCGGCAGCAATGGCTTTTACTCCTATTTTAAATAATCACTTTTTTTTCCTCAAGGGAGAATGTTTTAATTTCTGTTTGTATGAATAGAATTAAGGTAGTTGGACTTCACCTATAGATGCACAGTTTCCTTTGTTTTAATATTAAATATGTTCTCACTTAATTGCTTTGCTGCTAGACTTGCAACTAATTTTTTTAAAGTATATTCCATTATTTTGCATTTTTGATGTGAGTCAGAATTTTGACAGCTTTTATGTAGAATAAAAGATATTTTTGAATTTGTSTATTGTTACATATGTTTGCATCAAGCTAGCAGCTAAGAGGTTAATTGTGCAACTATAAAAAAAAAGAAAAAAAAAGTTTGTCTAAAATGTATTTAAAAAGAAAAAAAATTGTAAGTAGCATTTACATTTATTCAATAATATTACCATATGCTGGGTTTCTGTACCAGAAATGGCCAGTTGATGTACAAATGTATGTTATTTTTGCTCAAATTCATTTAAAATTTTTTTAATAAAGGGGCAGCATCTTCTAAATACTTTTAAGTTTTATCAGCTTTTTTTTTTTTTTTTTTTGTGACAGGATGCTGCATTCTGAAACTTTTATAGTTTTAGACTCTGTGTGATATGCTGTTGTAATCTCCATCCACCGTAGGAGAGAATTAAAGGCATTCTTTGCAGGTGTATTTTGTGTGCCACTGTTTTTTGAAATGTGAAAAACATTGGCATACTTAGTTATTTTTTTGGACAAGCTACACTTCAAGCTTGTTTTTAATGTTAATTTGATAGTGTGTTTTTTTTTTTTTTTAAACAAATCATGAAGCTGAAAAATTTTTAGGATTGTTGGTGCTTAGTAGACTTGATAACTATTTTAAAAATGCGTGAATTTAGTAAAACCCTTTTTTTCTCACTATGCATGTGTAAATGTTTGTAACCTGGCTTCCCCCAACTCCAGTGGTATAAAGAATTGTGCCGCTTAAAGATTTGGGGTTTTTTTTCCCTCCAGTAAAAATTTTGGTACCTTATTTGATGTTTACATTAAAATGTGACATTATACATGGCAATTCAAATATTTTGCTAGTTGTTTTGTTTGAGGAACATCATTAAAGAAAAAGTATAATGTTTGTCAAAAACTGATCAAAATTCATCAGAATTTGGGGCAGAAACTACTCTTGTTTTTATGTATTTCAATTCTTCTAAAAAATCCCTATTGAACTTATAAAAAAACTATAAAATTTGAATAACTATCTTAAATATTCTACAGTCTGACAATTGTTTTGAATGAACTTTGGTAAAATCCAAAGGAAAATGTTTACCCTCTTAAAATTTGTGGTCCTATTATACATTTGAAGCAATGCATGTCCTGATCATTTTCTTGATGTAGTAGTGATACTTTTGTATTTCAGAGATATCTTGAAACTACAGTGTAACTTTTTTTTTTTTTAAATAAGATAAGGCCGGGAACATTTCATATGAACTGAACCTCCCTGAGGATCCATTCAAAAATAGTTTTTTGGAAGACTACTTTTGATAGACCATCCTGTATTCACAATACATTTTTAAAACAGGGTTGAAAGTGACAAGGGTAAAGAAAAGCTACTTATATCTCTTAAGTGACTAGAGGTTAGTTCCTGTTGGCCAGCTACAGCTCCCTGTTGTCCTCAGATAATTTGGGATGAATGTGTGCCTTTGGTTAAAGGATAGTAAGCTGCAGGACAAATGAAGCGTGCCTCATGTCAGTTCTACCTTTCTGCCCAGAGTACAGTTCATCTGTAGTGGCTTCATAGCGAGGGCTGTGGGTTTCTGTCTGGGTGGCAGAGGTAGACGTGGAAACTGCAGATGTGTCAGTCACAGGTGGAAAGCAGCCAGTGAGTGAACAATGGCCCTGGCTTTATCTGTATAAGGTCACATGAGCACGTTTAGCTATGTCAGTTTTGCTTAGCCTACTTCAGCCAGAGGAAGGAAGAATTGTGCCATATTGCTATGTATTTGGAACTCTATACAAAGCTCAAGACATAGCCTGATTGAAAATTAGGTCACCCCAATGTGAGATGTCTGTGAAAGATGGTTGTCCCATCAGTGATGATTTCCCCTTACACCCATGCAGTATGCAGGACAACCCAAGCTGGATGAATGTTCCAAAGCATTTTGATGATATGAAGACAGAATTGTACTGTCTGGGCCTTCTGCTAACCTCTTGTCATGAGGTTATTGCCTCATTGTCTGTTTTCCATACTTGAATCTTCAACAGTTTTAAATTATTTATGTGTCTGTTTAGTTAAGGAGGTCATGTGCACACCACCTCATATAAATGTATTGATGAGGGAAGTGGGTTAAGGAAGCTGGTAAGTGGCTTTGCCATTCTCTTTTTTAGCAGTTATTTCTAAAATGAACAATCAGAGCTATTTATTAGTCCATGCTCTAAGTGCCCAGGTACTCCTCATCTCCCTCTTCTACAGCTAGCCAAGGATTTGAATGCTTCCATCCGACACTTTTGTCATTCTGGATTAAATGCTCATTTTAACCCCTAACAAGCTTCCTCTTTCTCAGTTTAATGCCCTCTTTCCAGCTGTGCTTTAAAGAATCTTTTTCATGCACAGTGTCTTGTAATGGTTTTGAGCAAGTCTTGCTACAAAAATCATTGCAAGTTTCCATTGAAATGAGGCTTGGCTTCTATGCTCTTTAGCAGCATTTGGGTACGATTAGCAGGTACACAAAAGTCATACTTATAAAAATAACTTGTTTTCTTATTCCATATCTTAGGTTCAACCTTAGAGCTCAGAATGAAAACATAGACACACTTTCAAGAAAACTTGATGATAGCTCTGAGATAATACCAATTACTACCAACTTCCTTTTCCAAAACAGAGGTTGATTGTTCGCATGGTTTCTTTTTGCTTTTTTGTTCTTTGAATCACTCTGAAGTTTCCTTGTTCTTGCCAGAACTATTTTTTATTCATTTCACTTTTTAATTTCAGTGCAACTAAAGAGGTTTTCTTTTAATCTTCAGTTCTTTGGGGTAATAGTGTGTTCATGCTAATTTTTTTCCTGATCTAAAAATGCATTTTTTGTTAAGATTTGAAGAGCCTTTTTCACTGTAATGTGGATATTTTCTGGTGTTTGTTGCTTTGGCATATGCTTTGTCAGATTGTTAGAGCAGAGCTTTGTTTTTGACTAGCCAGTAGTTAATTATTGACCATTTAAACTAACATAACCCCAGTTTTCCTTTCTTCACGCAGCTTTGCTTTTTGTCCAGGTCATCTTGTGTCTGTGAAATACCAAACTGCTGGCAGTATGTTTTTATCATCAGAGACTCTAGAGTAAGTTCAGGTTTGGTGTAAACATCAACTGGTCTTTTCAGTTCAAAGAATTGCAGAATAAGTAAAATAAGTAGAATTCCCACTGACTAAGCATTACCTACTTAAACACAGCAACCTCTAAGACCTATTTATGAAAATAGTTTCCTTGTTTATGAAGGCATTGAAGTTGCTGAGAAAGCTAACTGAATTTTCTAACTTTGAGATAATTAATATATAGTATTGTGGTGTTCTAGTGTAGTTGATTTTATATGTTTTCAATATTTTTCACCTCAAGAGCAAAGCTATACTCATAAAAGAATGTATCTCTAGCCATCTTGGCAAAAAGTCAGGGTGTGAAAACAATATCCAGATCAATTTTAGTATGGTTATTAAGAAAATTAGATTTCCTGAAATAGCCATTTAAAAAGAAACAGCCATGGTAGCATTGTTCCATCGTGAGGTTGTTTTTATAAAAAGGAATCCCAGAAAAATTCACAAAAGACATGTTAAAAACTTTGAATATATCAAAAGGTGAATTGCTGCTTTAAACAGTTACTTAGGTTGACCATCTCCTTTTTTCCTCTTTCCAGCTCCTCAATTTGTCATAATTTATCTGCTCTGATCTCCCAGACCTTATTTCTGGCTAACAGTCCCCTTAACATATGAAAGTCCTCAGTTTCCACATCACCCTGGGTGTCTTCCTGAATCCTGAGGCAAAGTCTTCATGGGTCTGATTGTCTCTCCCCTCCTATCCCATGATCCATGTTCAGACAGCCTAGAAGCTAGAAATCCCTGGACGGTGTTCTATAATATCTTGTTCAAAATATCACCTGGTGGTGGTGGCCACACGTTGTGAAGGCGTCAGAGTAGGTGGCACCTCAGTCTTCACAGTGCCCAGCAGGATAGGCTTCTCCAGTTGTCCATCTATGTGAGAGTGGACATTTATTTGCTGAAAGTTTACTGTAAAGCTGTTAAATTTACACTTACCACTTTCACCCCTGTTTAATTAGCAATCTCAAGACCTTTGCTGCACAGAAAGAATCTTAACGAATGTTTCACATTCTTAAAAACCACATTCAGAAAATGGCATTATGTTATTACATTAAGCTAGAATATTGAATTAAACATGTTAAAAACCAATTTTAATGTAACATTTAAAAGTTTTGAACTTCCTGAAAATATCAACTTTTGAATGATCTTTAAAGAAACAGCTGTTAGAGCTCCTAATTGTTTTTGAAGGAGTTACCGAAGAGAAGAATCTAGACTTACAAATGTGAACTGTGGTTAAATCCCAGACCCAGTTATACAGTGGTACTCTAGACCTTCTAAAACTGGAGTGTTAGGAAAACCCAGAGATGTTCATATAGTTTCAGTAATCAGAGTTTTAGACCAGACTTTATTTGGGATTTGTTCAACAGAGAGATTTTATTTTGATACAAATATTAAGCATAAAGCATAGTAAGTTTTATATAATTCTATGAGTTCATTAAACGATATTATGAAATTTTCATTATGTTCTTGGGGAGTCTTTTTAGCTATTTCTACCTCATGTATGAGGTCTCTTCTGTATTTTATTTTGCATATTAGCATGTGATTGCCTGCCTTAGAAATATGTATAGGAGGGGAAATCAATATTATCTTTTAAGAAATTTTTGGTTTTACAAAATAATTGTTTTTATTAATACGTTAATGTTTGAGAAATAAGGGGGAAGGGTGGCAAATGACATAGGTTTCAACAGAGTAGTGTCTATACACAAACCTGTCCTATTTAAGATTTTAGAATTGTGACAGGATAAATGAAAAAAAGGAAAAAAAAAAAAAGTGGTTCTCAAACTCTAGCCAGCATCAGACTTACCTCAAGGTTTAGTTGAAGCACAGGTTGCTGGACCCCACCCCAGAGTTCCTGATTCTAGCAGGCTGGAACCTGATCACTGGCGTTTGCAACAAGTTCCCAGCAATGTTGCCAGTCCAGGGACCACACTTTGAGAATCACTGGTCTAGAGAAAGTCTGAAGGTCTTTCCAGCCATGCATTTATTTACTCAATATAAAAAAAAAAAAACTGATCTTTTGAGTCATTTTTATAATTCTGATGCCATGAGTGGCACATTCATGGAGAAAGACTCTGCTTTTGGATTGGCTGCCACCCCTCTTCTCTTCCCCAGTGGGGTCTATGCTGCTCTTCCTCATTAGGGTGAAGGAGCTTTTTCACCTCCGGGGTGAGTTGGTTTTGTGTACACTGCTGCCTGGGCTTTGGTCTGGAAGCTGTGTGTGTGTTTGATGTGCTTAGAGTCGATCTTGATGATCCCTGCACGTGGAGATGAGAATTATGGAAAGAAGCCATCAGCATGTCACGAGAGTGCACTTTGCATTTATCGAGGCACTAAGTACAGGAGTCCCTGTCCTGAGATGGCAGTGACATGGAGCATTGAAAATGATAGATGATACCCAAATAATGTATTCTGTAGGTTTTTTTTTTTTTTTTTGGCGGGGGGAGGGGAGGGTGAGGGCAAAGGATTTGCTTTTCAAATCGTGTGTTTCTCAGGTTAACAAAGTTATTTTAGATTCTCTGCCATGCCAGCAGGTGTTAGGGAGAGGTGGTGTCTATGGCAGAAAATAAATAATTGTTTCTGATTTCTTTGCTACCTTTAAAAAAATCTGTTTGCAAATCAGTTTTGGGGAATCTACCACCTACACAGCATGAGTTATTCATAAATATACATGTATGAGCAAGTTATTTTTGAGAAAGAAACTGCCTGTCACCTAGTAAATCTGACAGGTCTTTGGATATTTTTACATTTGTGTGGTGTTGTTTTAATATCCAACCTGAACTGCACCATGGGGGTAGTGGGCTCTGCTTCTGGTTTTTAGTTTGGCTTTGAATTTACTGAGATAACTAGCAAAAAAATAAAATCTATTTTTAAGGTATTAGAGTATAGAATGACTTAGGCCTAGAAGTACACATGATGACCATCTTCTAGAATGCACGGCTGTGGAACTCTTCAAACAGTACTTCCTAGTTAAAAGGCTTGATGACCTCCGGGGAGGGTTGGTGGTCTGTTGGGCACAGGTTCCTCTATGTAGTCCCAGCTCTTGGGGAGCTTAGGTTTACTTACACTTGGCCTTGCATGGTAACTTGTATGCAAAGACCTCTTCATATCTTTTAGTAGGTCAGAGGGCACTTTTGTCCAGGCTAAAGTTCCAAAGTGTCACACCTGAGGATGTTTCTCAGCACCCCCACCTCTCACTACAGAGGAAGGGTCCTGAATATCCAGGATCACACCTGCTCCTATAAATCCATGTATATGACATTATGTACATCACGTACTGTATCTGATTTCTGTGCCAGACATCTGACCTGATTCTTTGAAGCCCATGAAGGTACTGGTTGTATGTAGTAGTTGTATCCTAGGTAAATATGGTGATTAAAATACTTCTCTAAATTATAAAGGTAATGGGTTTTGCATTTTATTAAAGGGTCCTGTTATTACTGACACAGGATTTTTTTTTTTAATGCTTCAAAAATACAGTTCTCTAACTTGTTCATCTAACTTCATAGGATCAGTTACTTAGCAAATTCATACTGGTTCTTATTGGGAAGCTTTCCTAAAGGAGGCCATATAAAATTGAACTGGTCAGTTTCCATCTCTTTGAAGCACCGGTTATACAGCCACCGAATTGAGCATAATTATTTTTCTTTGCAGTAAATGATACCTCATCTAAGAGGCTCTAATACCTGAAGAGTTTATTCTTTAAAGTAAAAATGACTTTGTACCATAAAATAACCCCAAAGCTACTCTCTAGGATTTTTATTTTCTTCTTTCCTTGTCTGTGTGTCTTCTTTTCTAACCTAGTTTTTTGGAATTACTTTAGCTACTTCAGTTCCTTAGAACAAATTTTCAACTTGGGGTCTACAGTTCCTACAGTGTGGTCATTGTCTCAGTGAAGTTCTTTTGTTTTAAAAGATTCATGGTAACACAAAATGTATTTTACTGCTACAACTAAAATGTATTTATAATAAAATGCCTTTTTAATAATTCGAAGATTCAGTTATTATGTGTGTGAACTATAATTCTCTGCTTCCTTTTACTTCTAAGTTCAAACATCTCACAGAAATTGAATGTTTCAATTTTATTCATATCAAATGGTAAAACTAATGGAAGGGAGAAACTTCACATCAGTTTGTAAAGTTGTGATTCTAGTTGCCAGGAATTTGTGACTTGACTTAAACCTCCAAACTTCAGCAGAAGCAAAAGCCTTAAGGTCACCTGACAGTTCACCTGGTCAGTGAGAAAATGATCCCTTTTCAAATTGTCATTCAACAAGGATCTGAATTGTTAAAAATGTCGTGAATTAGTCTTAACAAATCACTTGGTTGTTAATTCTGGGCTTGTGTGCCCCGAATTTGAGAACTCATAAGCCTAATGTACATCAATATATTATGATGGTATAATAATGCACTTCACAGTGATTTGTGACAAGTGTTAATTCACCTATCAAAAAAATATATTTTTTTTTTCTGGCTGTGCAGAAAATTGCCCTGAGTCAGGGTCTTGTTTTTTGGGGGGAGAAATAATTGTTTGCATTGACTGATAGAAATTTTAGGAAGCATTAGCAGGTCACTAAATGCTTTGTGTACCCTATTTTATTATTTTTTTTAAAGAGAATTTTTTGAATATTTATTTTGTAGTTTTCGGTGGGCACAATATTTTATTTGTATGTGGTGCTGAGGATCGAACCTCGAATGCCATGCGAGCGCGMTACCGCTTGAGCCACATCCCCAGCCCCCCTATTTTATTTTTAACATCTTATTATTGTGGCACTATAAATCTAGCTTGAATATACCTTAAGGTTTATAAATGGAAGTAGATAGGATAGTCAGCCTTTTGCAAGGACAGCTTAAAATCCACATCATTGCAGTGAATCTGTGTGTGTGTGTGTGTGTGTGTGTGTGTGTGTGTGTGTGTGTGTGTTTTGTTTTGCATGCTGGTATTGAGCCTAGGGCCTTGCACATCCTAGGCAAGTGCTCTACCATTGAATTGAGCTACTTGGCCCCACTGAATCCATTGTTAGGCTAGTTATCTTGTTTTGTTAAATTGATATGGCATAAATCTTTGAATTTTGGAAAGAAAAATAGTTCTTTCCATATAAAGTCCAGTGAATTTGGAAGTCTCCTTGTGCTGCTGTCTGCTCCTGATGAAGTAACCCCAGCTCCCACTGTCAGTGGGAAGGTGCAAATGACCCCCTCATTGGTGTCCTTTGGTATTGATATGAAAGTGTGAAGCTAATAGGAAAAAACAAACAAGGTGGGGAATTCTGTGTGTCAGGTCCCACCGGGGATGGAGACTGGTGGAAGAGGTGGGATGGTGAGTGGTCTGCCCTGAACTGGGTCAATCTGGAACATACAAATGCCCCGTGGTTGATTTTTTTAAATTTTTTTATATTTTTGATACCAGGGATTGAACTCAGGGGCATTTAACTACTGAGTCGCATCCCCAGCCATATATATATATATATATATGTATGGGTTTTTTGTTTTTTTGCTTCGGGCCTCACTAATTTGCTCAGGCTGGCTTTGAACTTGTGATCCTCCTGCCTTAGCCTCCCAAGCTGCTGGGATTACAGGAGTGTGCCACAGTGCCTGGCCTGTGGTTGATTATAAGTATCTGAGGAAAGCTTGGTTAGAAGTTGACTCTGCTGCTTGACTTCCAAGGTTCTGTCCAGACCAGTCAGTTCCCTAAGGGTGGAAATTCACTTTTTGACTCACTTCCTGTTCATCCTACCAAGGGCAGCCGATCGGGCCACTCTTCTGGAGAGTTATGTGGCTCTCCACCACAACCTGTGTCTTACCTGGGCTTTCAAGGCATCCCAAGTCTCCTTCCTGGGCACTGCCATCGCAGGCTGTGGTGGACCAGTCCCGTTCTGCCTGCACAGGCCCCTGACTTTCTTGCTGCTCTATTTGGCTCACGCCCTTTGGCCCTCAAACCCAGTCCCCAGATCTACTTCTGGGAGTTTTACTTACTAATCAAGACTAAATTTCACCCCCTTGTGCTCACTGGTGGAATTAACCCCGCTTCTCTCTGTGCCTGCAATTAAGCCTTGTCACAGGTTTTGTATTAAAGAGTTTGTGAACTTCTGGATCCTCAGATCTCTAAACCTATAGCACCAGCCCTATACCTGATACAGAAAACGGCCTTCCATGCTTGGGGCAGCTGGGTCTCAAGGTTTGATTGAAAGAAGAGCTTAAAGGTGCTTCCCCCTCCTGGTGTCATGTGCCAACACAGTGTGGCCAGATGACAGCCCTTGACAGGAGCAATGGCCTAGAGTGAAGGAGGAGTAAGCTGTCCTCTGCAGTGATGTCCCCACCCACTCCACACAGCTCTCTGAACAGTGACAGTGGTAGTAGCATTCACATGTATTTTGTGCCTTACCAGGTATCACTGTTAGAACCTTTCGTTTGACAGCTTCACCATGGTTATGTCAATTTTGATGGTTGCTGCCTCCTTTAGCACAGGCTGGTCTGTAGGCATATACCTACCATGCAGAACTCTGGAAACATGATGAAATTCCCCTTTGTATAAGGCTCTGGTTGATGTTAAATCCGCAGAGAGAGGTAATTAAATTGAACAGGAGCTGCAGCTTGCAAAACCTATGTGGTATTATCCCCACTCTTAGCTCATTAAAACTGATGCTCTGCAAATTGATTTAAACTGTTGTTTCAGGAAACTGTGCTGCTAATCCCTGAGAATAAAGTGGTACTAGTTGGCTGATTCAGAGGAGCCAGGGCTGGACACTGGAAGGTGGGCATGGCCAGCTGGCCACTGAAAGGGAGCCAGAGGAGAAGGTAGTTTTGGTGGTGTTCCTCCCTAATTGAACAGAAGCACTGGTGACAGGCCTTCTGGATGTGCGAGGAGTGCCTGAAGGTGTCTGTGCAAAAATATACCAGGGATCCTAAAGGGAAAGACTTGAAGTCACCAGAGTAGTGGGCCTTGTCTTTGTCTTGGCTCTCAAACCTACCTGCTATTTTACAAAACTATACAGAAGTGGGTCTCTAGGCTGAGGTGTTTTCTAAGAGAAATTCTTGTAGATTCAGTCTCTAGCTTTGTGACCAGGTTTAAAGCAAATTTCGTAATCTGAGACACAAGTAACAGATGATCAGAAGATGGGTAAGCTTGAGGAAACAAAGCTTTTTCTCAGGGTCCTAGGGTTTAGGTAAGTGTACCCTGAAG